GTATGTGGTGGTACACGCCTTTAACCCAGTGCTGGGGAGGCTGATACAGGAGGATCACTATGAGTCTGAACTGTGCAGTGAGACCCTGTATCAAATAAATCAATAATTAAATAAATAGATCCAAAATAGGCATGTTTATATGTAATAATCAACTAAGTTTAATTCTTCCAATTTATGGCCAGTTTTGTTTCTCTGATGTTACTTCTCAGTACAGTGGAGATGAGCCCATGGCACAGGTGCCACAGCGGGCATGCAGAGCCCTCTTTGTTGGCACCTGGCCATGTTGCCCCAGCATTGCCCTACCCGCCAAGCATTGAATAACAGCATACACAGGGGTAGTGCTAGGGTGCTTTGTGAAAGACAAGTTGGTTTTGGGTTGCAGTTTGGGCACTTGGACTCTGAAAGCTCGCCATCATTGTCTGAGCCTGTTGCTTGTCTTTTTATACTTTTGAGTACCATCCAAAGGACTTTAAAACTTTTTGTAGTTTTGATATAGGTCTTCCTCAGTTTCCCTGGCTGGGCTTGAAGTTGGAAGCCTTCTGGCTCAGGCTCTGAAGATGGGATAACATGTGTGTACCGCTCTACCTGGCTAGATATTTAAAATTTTGATGAGGTCCAACTTAACAACTTTTTCTTTTATGGATCATGTGCTTAGTACCATATCTAAGAACTATTATTTTGTTTTCTTTTGGATATTTATTTAGTTCAGGATTTACATTTAGTTTTTTATTTACTTTGAATATCTTTCCTTTTTAAACATATGGCTATTTGTTCCAACACCATTTGTGGAAAACTTTTTTATTTCCATTGAATTACCTTGTGTGTGTGTGTGTGTGTGTGTTTAGGTTTCTACATTATTTAATTATTTATTTGTTTCCAAACCTTCAGAGTCTTCGTTTTTAATTTTTATTTTTTTCCCATAATTTTATTGAGAAACAAATAACAATGAGACAGTTTCAAACCAAATTGGTAGGACAGTTTCAATAATTAATACATTGCATACATTCTTCCTAGTG